AAACGTCTTCCACCTTTTAGCAAAAGCGAGAGCAAATCATGGCACAAATTTCATTCCCGGAGTCGTCTTCCTGGAGGACAGGCTGGGCCCCGAGGTCAAGTCATCCGTTTGCTGTTCCGTTTCCATAATGCGATTCTGCCCGTGAGTGCGTAGCGATGGAGGCACATTCGCTGTCATGTTAGTTTTGTAAATGTCTGTGTTAATGGTCCTGTATGGACGGATCCACCTTCAGTCCTATCGACGGTGCGGTTGTTGACACAGTGTCCTCTGCGTGACACACCTGCTCTGAGGCGCCACTGGCCGAGCTCTTTGCTGTTCTGCTCCCGCCGGGCCCCGGCCGTGGCAGCCCCCGTCATGGCTCCATCTGGCTTCAGCTTTGGTTTTCTCGAGGGCTGTCCAGAGTGGCCACGATGTCCCTGAGCCACAGGGGGGACAACCAGAGCTGTCAGGTCAGGGGATTTTGCAAACACCGGGGGTGGCATCACCTGGTGTGGCAGCTGGGAGCCTGGGGGTGTGCAAGGCGGGAGACCTAGGGAACTCCACATGCCACAGCTGCCGCCTTTTGGTTGGTTTGCTTAATAATTTTTTTTTTCTGCACTTAAAAATAATGCAAGCTCTATAAAAACAGAGGTAAACACCAAGCGGAGATGCCAGGGAGCTGGCTGAGAGGAAGAATGGCAGGTGGGAGGCAGGCGAGACTCACGGACCCTGTGGGTGTCTGGGTGGGAGGTGCAGGTAACTTCGCTCTGCAGGGGGGGCTTTCCCACCCAGGTGCTGCCTGGGGCTGGGCCTGGGTGTTCCCGCAGCCGCCCTGGTGTCAAGGGTGCAAACTCACAGTGGTTGTAACTCCTTGTCTCTGTCTTTTAGAGAATTGTGCTTGCATGGTCTTAGACCTCTTTTTCAATAACAATCATATCATAAGCATTTCATTTTATCTGCTTTAAAGGTACGATATCTAATTCTCACACGATATTCCATTGTGTTGTGTTATTTAACTATTCGCCTGTCTTTGGGAACTCCTTTGTTTTTCAGTGTTTGCTGTTTAAATAAACAATGAACGGTCGTCTGCGTGTGTTATTTCCTTAGAATGAATCCCTGGAAGTGGAAGTTCTAGGTCAGTTGTTTTACACCTTTTTGAGAGCTGCCAAGTTTTCCTCCAGAGAGCTCAGGCTGGACGCTCCGTGAGCACATGTGGGAGGTGCCCATTCGTCCCGAGTTTGCCAGTGTGGAATTTCCATATGGAAGAATGTTTATTGTGTAGGAAAATATGCATTCTCGTTTTGGGTTTTGTTACTAATACTGCGAGTGAGTTTATTTTTCTTTCATGAGTTTGCTTGGTAAAATTGTTACAAACATGCATCTCATCTATCAAATTCTTATATTTAAAAAATATTGAAGATTAAATCTGAAGATTTAATTTCATAAATGAAATTAATCTTTTCCTTTGATTTCCTTATTCTAAGATCTGATAACTATTCACCTAAATTTTTTCTATCTTTTTATAAAGGTTTTATTTTAAGATGTTTGAGCTATCAGAGATCTGTTTTTGCTCTCCAGGTTAAACCATGAATGTATTTACCCTTGTAACACATCCTGAGTTTGCAGTTCTGTTTCCTCCCTGTGGAGTTTGTCACATCTCTTGTCACTACTATTCCTGGTACTCGATGATTTCTTCCTGCGACTGTGATGAGAGTATTTTCCCCAGTATTTATTCTAAGTGGTAGTTGGTAGTACATTTTTGACTTTTGTCTTACAATTGACTGCTTTACCAAAACCCTTTCATTTTGATAGTTGATTTGATTCTGTAGAATTAAAAAAACAATTGCATATAATGAGCTTTTAAAAATCATTAATTCTGTGTGATATTTAATAAACTTTTTGAGTCTTTAGACTACAGTCTTGGGAGCTCTCCTGTGTCAGGTCTTTGGCTGCTGCCTCTCTCCCTGTGTTCTGGCTCCCGCCCCCCAACCCCCACCTTTCCAAAAGGCCATCAGCCCTGTCCTGTCTCCACGTTCAGCTGTCCCTTCCTGTGCAATCTTCTCCCATTTCTCATCACTTTGTTCTTACCGTCTGCAGTGTAGACAGTGCTGATTTTAAAGTTTGGCTTCCTTGTTGTGGGTTTGATTTGTTGCAGGGACGACTTTGTTCCGCATTTTCAATCCAGACTTTCCTCTCTGGGCTTCCTCTCTCGACACCGTCTTCTCAGCGAACAGCCCCCTTGCTGTCTTCTGGGTACATCTAACCCGTCACACTGTTGTCCTGTTTTCTATGGTTGCTGTGTTCTTGAATTTTATTGACAACACAAATCAGATGCTTTTTAGAATTCGCATGGGTTTCCAATAGTAATTAATTTTTTTCTGTACCTTCGTGTAGTTTGCCTTTTTAACAATGTCATAGAATTATTTTATAGCGCTCACGTTGCGTTTGTGTTTCGCTGTTTCAGTGTGTTGGTGTTTGTTTACAGTTACTGTTTCTCCGTGCGTAGGGGAGGGAGTATCCAGGCCCAGGACCTACCAACCATGTAGTGAGCGTACGCTGCCCGGCCCTTCATTTCTCTGCCAGACGTTGGAGGGCCTGGTGCTGGCGTGTCTTCCAGTGGCTCTTGGGGATGGGGTCCTGCTCTGGCCGCCTGGCCCCGACTGTGTGTCTGGCAGTCTGTTGCTGGACACTCTGGGTCGTCACCTAGCTGTTCCCAGGCCACAAACAGGTGCGAGAAGCTCCTGACACACCTTCGTGCTGCAGAGTCGCCATCTTGAGGTGCAGTTCCCGTGTGAACTCGGGGCTGAGGGGCCCTGACGGCCTGAGGGGTGGGTGAGCTCATCCCTTCTCCCCACATGTCCCATCTGGGCACTCCTGCGTGTGGTTCCTGGACGTCGTTCTCAACACGCAGACCCTGGCTCCTTCCTGGGCGTCAGGCTTGTCCTTTCTTCTAATTCCTGTTGGGCAGATGGGTCAGAACCGGCACTTTCCTGTGGACCGAACCTAAAGCCCACACAGGACTTTGTGAGGTGCTGGCTGTTGTCTGACAACCATGTACAGACACCTGCTTCATCTACCTGTTAATAGTAATGAAATTATCAGCCAGGGAGCGATACTGGTAGGAATAAGAATTTTTTTTATCAAGAAAGTTTGGGATTTAACTGGTTTCTAAGAAAATTTAAGATTTACTTATTTGAAGCAGCGGCCAAGGGGGCCACAGGCAGGAAGCCGCTGCTGAGGTCACAGGCACGGGGTGTGTCTGGAGGTTCATGGGTGCGGGATACGTCCACTGTGGTCACAGGCCTGGGTTTGGCCTCTGTATGTGGTGGGGGCCTTGCTGGAGCCAGAGCCTCTTGGGCCATGAGCGCCTGTCCTGTTAGGGTTGTGGGATTACAGGAAAAAGTCTGTGGCTTAGATAAGGAGTGATTTGACCTTAAAACGTCATTGGTTGGGTTTACATTAAAACACTCATCAACGACTCTGGTGTTTGCCAGGTACTGTCCACTTCTTGGACTCCTTTAATAATCTCTCTGCCCTGGGAGACTCGAAGAGGCAGAGGTCAGACTCAGGAGTTTCACGTCTGGATGTGAGAATAGAGCCCATGGTAAGGGTCAGGTGATCAGATGCCATTTGTTGTGGCTGACCCTGAGTGTTCCAGAGAAATTCTTCCTACAGTCGGCCAGTTGGAAGGTGAACCCACCATGTCCGTGTTGCGCTCAGTGGGGTCTCCGAGCCTCCAGAGGGGTCCCAGGTGACAGATGGGGCTATTACTCTTCCCGTTCTGACACCCGTGGAAGTGTTCGAGAGGCTCTTTCTCATTCTTGGAGATAAGACTCAACTGTAAGAGAGCTTATCTCACACCTCGTGGAGCCGTGTCCACCGGATGGAGTCCCCGCCGCACCACAAACCCATTGTCTCACCTTCTCGAAAACCCGTGGTGAGCTATGCAGGTGGCTGACGCTGGCACCAAGGGCGTGGCGGACCAAGGGCATGGTGCACATGCGACTGTCATCCTAGTTGACACCTCTGTCCCCTGCACTCCTGCTCCTTCCTGCCCTTCCTCACCTCGGTGTACCTGAGTGTCACAGGACCGAGCCGGTGGAACATCACCTGGTGCAGCTCCGTTACCTGCAAGTGGAAACACGGGTGAAGTGCCGGGACTCAGTCGCAGCCACACGGGAAGTTGCGTGTTCCAGAGCAGCAGGGCTGGTGGGTGAACCAGGAGTCAGAGCCGTGGGCTCCCTGAAGCCGAGGCCTGAGCTGTGAGTTTCCCCTCATCCCAGCGGAACTTGCCCCTCGGTAACTTGCCTAGGACGCTTCTGACAGGAGGTCGGCTCTTTTTCACCGCAAACCCCCAAGCTGACTCTCAGCCCTGCGAGAGGGGACAGCTGCCCAGCCACAGTGGGCTTCTCGGGCGGCAGAGACGCCTACGCGAATTCAGCGAGGGGCCTTCCCACTGGGATTCTCTCTGCTTCCTTGTGATGTTCTCAGGCATTTCCAAGGCTTATTTCCATCCAAACACCCTGGAGACAGAACCGGTTAAATGACAGCAGCTTTGGATCTCTGGAAACCAGAGGCAGAGGCAGAAATTCAGGAACAAGGACCCTGGCTGTGAATGGCAACTGATTTTGGAGAGAAAGTGTCTTCAAGACGCATCCGGCGGGCGTGCGGGGGAGCCCGCGGGGTCTCGGGCAGCCACGCCGTGCGTTCAGGGAGCAGGGAGAGGTGGGGGCTGGTGTGAGGGTTGCCATGGCAACTCCTCATTATCTCCCAGTCGCAGGGAGAACCGTGTACAGGGTATTGACAGTTTACGTGTGTGCTGCGGCTTCTCCCACTGGTGCTCTTTGTGTGTGCGTGTGCACGTGTGCGCGCGTGTGTGTGCGCACGCATGTGTGTGCCTTAAAGAGATGACTCCATGCGTACGGATGCTGCCAGGTTTTCAGCTACATGCAAGCACCTCGCCAGGCGTGTGCTGCTTCCCGTGGGGCAAACACGGTTCTCTGCCTCTGCAGGTGATGGGTCAGAGCTCTGAGTATCGGGCTTGCTGTGATCTGATTTCTTTTGCAGGCGCAGAGGGGAGAGACAAAGGGAAGCAGAGAAGGAGAAATCACAGCCTTGTTGGTTGAGACAAGCCTAGAGAGTCAGCTTTCAGAAGTGCCGTGAGGTCCAGGTGTGGCGGGGGCTGGGCTCCGGCGGGCCTCTAGTGGGAACGCCGCTGGCGCAGACGCTTGGCCGGGGGCACCTACGGGGCCGTCTCCACTCGTGCATTTCCCAGTCCTCATTAAAGGAAACGCTCCTGAATCTGGGATTTTTGCAGGTGATGTCTGAAGAGCGAAGCCTGTCTACTGGAGTAATGTGGAGCAGATCACCCGAGTGGAGCGTTTAGGATGAGAACACGTGTGCATGTGCACATGCGTGTGTCGTGTGCACGTGTCTGAGGGCGGTTGTGTGCAGGGAAGCGCGGGCGCAGCACACCCTTTTGCTCAGCTGCCCACGTCCGTCACAACCGCTCCTGCCGCCGCCCCCATTCTGTGGAGGTCACGCCCCCGTGCTCCTGCAGGCGGGGTGCCGCAGGGCGTGGTCTGGAGACGGACGTGCCCCACGTCCTCTGCGTGTGGGGAGCAGAGTCAGGGACAGAGGCTCGTGTGTGGGAGCGCGGTGCCGGCCCCGCGGTGGGAGTGCAGCTCTGGGATTCGGGGCCGGGCAGAGCATTCCGCTCGGGGCCCACACCCAGCGCCACGCCGTGAAGGTGGGTGTTGGCGTGAACGTCCGCCTGGCTTCCGTATGGACTTACGCGCACGTCTCCGTCTCTTACTCGTGTTCTCAGGTCTTGGGAGATACTGAAGAATTGATTGACCGCTGTAAACCAGAGCAGGAAATAGCCTTGGCCGGACTTACCTGAGTGCGGGGTGCAGATGGGCGCTCCGAAAGAGCCTCACACCTGTCAGGCGGGGTCTCGGAGGTCGGAGCGGTAAAGAAACAGCGTTGTTGGTCTTAAGGAACCGATTGGACGCCCAGAGCCGCGGCTAGAGTGTCTTTGACGGGGCTGTCACTGAGAGTGCCTCTGGAGAAGGACAGGCTACTCGGCGTGAGGCAGGAGGTCACACCTGGGGAAGCATGTGTGTGTGTGCGCAGGCGTGTGTTCATGTGTGCAGGCATGTGTTCATGTGCTTGCGTGTGCATGTGCAAGGGTTGTCTGCCACCCTGCATCCCCGTCCTGCCTTAGTCCACTGCGATCTTGGCCCACACCTTGGTCCCTACAGCGCACCCCGTGACAGGCTCTGATGACCCAGTGTCGTGGCAGGCCCTGCATGTTTCACCAAGCTTGCGTGTGCAGCTTGTCCCGTGCAGGTGTGACCTTTATGTGTGTTTGGGAAACAGCGATGTGCACGCCTTTGATCCACAGCAACAGCTCCTTGGGAATTGATTTGCAAACCTTTGGGGTGATGGCACTGCCCTTCTGGTCAGAGAAAGGGGTTTGGAGCGGTGGGGTGACTGTCACTTGTACACTTTGTTTACTCTGCACTGGACGCACGTGTCCCCATCTGGGCGTGTCTCGGTTTGGGAGAGGCTTGTAGGAGATGCCTCCCTTGCCCCTCTGATGCCTGTCGGGACGGGAACCACGCGAGGGCAGGTAGCCGCCGCCCGAGATCACTGCCCCGGCACCCAGAGAGAATCGTGCCACAGGAGATCTGTCCCTGGGGCTCAGGACACACAGGACATTGTCAAGGGGGGGCAGCTGGGGGGCAGCTGGGAACCTCCTCGAGGGGCTGTCTTCCCTGGACCATTCCCTGGGTAACTGGTTCCAAGTCCTGGGACCTTGCGCTCATGGAGACGTCATTCCCAGGCCTCCGATTCCAGGTCGGTTCTCAGAGTGAAGTAAATGGAGCTGGTCCTGCTGGGGGTTTGGTTCTACTGATCCCGGGATATTTGGGCCCATAAGCGAAGGTACCTGGCAAGTCTCTGGGGCAGGCGACCCCCGGCTTCCTCCGTGAATGCCCACTGGGACTCGAGTTCCTTGGTTTCTCCACGTCAGTGAGAGACGAGCCTCCCTCCTGTTTTCATACACTCCCAGCTGTTTCCTGTGTCCTGGTGGGAAACCACTGGGTGCTGGGGTTCGACCACTTTAAAACTTTAAGATAAGATTTCGAACTTATCCTGTGGGGCGTCTCATCTGCACCCCACAGAAAGTGGGCAGACCTGTCTCGCTCGCCACCACCCAAATAGCACGGGACCCTGCGGCCCGAGGTCTGGCGGGCAGATTGCTGTGTTGCCTAAATCGGCACGTCCTTGTTTACGAGTGAGGCACGGGCGCTTTCTGCTCAGTGCTGGGAAACGGTGGCGAGAATGTTTTCTGCACGCGCCTTGGCGCCAGCGTTGCACTGGGGGTGTGCAGGGCCGAGCTCAACGCCTGCGTCTCTGCCGCACGGGACAGCGCCGGCTTGAGTGAGGCTGGGTCGTGCTGGTCGGCCGTGCGGGCGGGGAGGCCTCTTCCCCAGGGAGCACCTCGGCCCAGGGAGCAGGGCCTCGGGGCAGGAGCCCAGGAGAGGCCGTGAGGCCGGCGTCTCTGATCCGGAGCTGGGCCTGACGCGGGTGTGGGAGGAGCGAGGTTGGAGGCAGATGGCAGTACAAACAACGGTACGACCGGGACACGGGGGTGGCGGGAGGGACCGGGGCTTCCGTGCCAGGCGTGAGGCGAGAAGAGTCAGAGTCCAGGCTCAGCGGGGAGGGCGAGGGCTGTGTCACCAACACGAGCGCACATTGGGCCCCGGCTGAGCACGCTTGGGAGGACCTGCCAGGCCAGACTGTCCGTGGTGGGTGTGGGGGACCCACGCCAGTTTCCAGGGTGTGGCCTTCCCGGCCCTCGGTGGTGCTGTGGGGACACAGGGTCTGCACCTGCCTGGGCGCCGCGGGGTCACCCGGTCAGCACCCTCAGCAGCGTGTCCTAGGAGAGCACGGCCCCAGGTTCACAGTCTTCGTGAATGGCTTTCTCCATGCGGTCACGGGGCCTGGGTGTTGGAGCCAGATGGATGGAACCACGTGGCGAGGGAATGTCAGTGGTGTAGACCATCTGAGCAGCAAGAAGCCAGACGGTTTCCACACATCCCTTCTCCAGCCAGCCGTGGCCGTGCCTGGGCACGGGGACACGCACCATGGGGTCACCTGGGAGAGGACGGACATGAGGTCTGTGGGGCCATCCTGGGTGTGGGGGGCACAGTGTCCGTGGCCGTCCTGGTGCAGGGGGCATGGCGTCTGTGAGTTGTCCTGGGTGCAGGGGGCATGGCGTCTGTG